GGTAGAAGGATGGAGATGACGGTCACCTGTGTGCTCCGCCCTGATCCGGGCTCTCCGGTCACCATGACGATGTTGTTGCTCTGCAGACTCTCCATCACCTGATACTTCACCCCCCAGACCGGCAACAAGCGCCGTCGCCCCAGCAACTGGAAATACCGCGAGGAGAAGGGGAGGCCATCAAACGGGTTCTGCTCCAGACCTCCATCCTCCTCCTGGGAGGACTCCGCAATCACATGGTCATCCTCCTCCTGGGAGGACTCCGCAATCACATGGTCATCCTCGTCCTCTCCCACATCCCCGTCCTGGGTTTTTCACACGCGCTCTCTCCTCCTCTTCCCCCAGCACATCATAGAAGGTGGGGGATGGGATGGTCCTCTGGGGTACAAGCATGTAGTAAGTGAAAACTATGGTTATACTTGCCCCAAGCCTGAGGATCAGCATGACAGCCAGGGAAGTATTATTGTCATAGGGGGTCCAAGAGGACGGTGTGCTGGAATTGTTTGCTAGGGCTGTGATGACCCTTCACCAACCAATCAAATCTCACCTTATAACCTGACCACTGGGAGATGACTTCTGATTGGCTGCACGGTGGAATATTGCTTCCCCCTCTACACACCTCTGTACTCCCCCTCACACACACACATCCTACAGGGTGTCACTTCTGGGAGGCTGATTGATCTTCCATGTCTTCCGCCCTCACTGACATAAACTTCCGCCTGGAAAAAAAAACAACTTCCGCCCTCACTGACAGCCACTTCCTCCGTCACTAACAGCCACTTCCGCCCTTACTGACAACCACTTCCGCCCTCACTGACAATCTCTGCGGATGCGCGCACTAAACGCTATGTCGTCGAAATCTCTGCTTGCAAGTGACGTCATTGTAGATTTGAACGAATTGATATCACTTCTCCGGAGCTATGAGATTTCTGCACGTCACACGGACCACGCTGACTCCTCCCACTTGCCTTGTCACCTCACCATTCACATGCGCTAGCCTAGGTAGCCCCGCCCCCATGCCGATCTGGCAGCGATGGGCGGAGCGCGGATTGTTTTAGGAACGAACGTAGGAGCCGGTGGGTGGAGCCTACATGTCATTAGAAACAATGCATGGGCGGAGCTCATCTTGTCTCCGAGAAAATGGCGGCGGAGCGGATTTATTTTGTCCTCTAGCGGCAGATTTTGGTTGCGCACCCATGATGCCCTGCGCTATCTTGGATGAGCCAATCAGCTGGCGGCGCGTCAGTGGGAAGAATGGCGGATCCGAAGTGGAGAGAGGTGAGCCCGAGGGAAGCGGACTTGTCACCCCGTCTATAGGGGGGCGCAGTGCCCGTCCGTGTCTATAGGAAGGTTCAGTACCGGCCACCGAGCTCCGCCATCAGGACGACCTGTCAGTGTGAGGATCGGGGAATGCGCTGACAGCAATGTGGGGGAGGGGTTCTCCGATATATACAGGACATTGTCCTTTCACTGCTGTGTGTACAGGTCTCATGACCCTGATTGTGGGAGGAGCCGGGTACACGCAGAGAATGCTGGGAAATCAGATTGTGGGAGGAGCCGGGAACACTGAGGATAGAGGACCTCAGACCGGGTACACGCAGAGAATGCTGGGAAATCACATTGTGGGAGGAGCTGGGAACATGCAGAGAATGCTGGGAAATCTCAGAATGTGGGAGGAGCCGGGAACACTGAGGATAGAGGACCTCAGACCGGGTACACGCAGAGAATGCTGGGAAATCGCATTGTGGGAGGAGCTGGGAACACTGAGGATAGAGGACCTCAGACCGGGTACACGCAGAGAATGCTGGGAAATCGCATTGTGGGAGGAGCTGGGAACATGCAGAGAATGCTGGGAAATCAGATTGTGGGAGGAGCCAGGAACACTGAGGATAGAGGACCTCAGACCGGGTACACGCAGAGAATGCTGGGAAATCACATTGTGGGAGGAGCTGGGAACATGCAGAGAATGCTGGGAAATCTCAGAATGTGGGAGGAGCCGGGAACACTGAGGATAGAGGACCTCAGACCGGGTACACGTAGAGAATGCTGGGAAATCACATTGTGGGAGGAGCCGGGAACACTGAGGATAGAGGACCTCAGACCGGGTACACGCAGAGAATGCTGGGAAATCGCATTGTGGGAGGAGCTGGGAACACTGAGGATAGAGGACCTCAGACCGGGTACACGCAGAGAATGCTGGGAAATCGCATTGTGGGAGGAGCTGGGAACACTGAGGATAGAGGACCTCAGACCGGGTACACGCAGAGAATGCTGGGAAATCACATTGTGGGAGGAGCTGGGAACATGCAGAGAATGCTGTGAAATCACAGATTGTGGGAGGAGCCTGGAACACTGTAAGGGGGTTGACAGACATGGTGGGTGGGGGATATAGTGGTGTGGTTGGAGGTAGGGGTGTTGTAGGAAGGGGCGTGGCTTGTGGTGTTGGAGGGGGCGTGGCTTGTGTTGTTGGGAGGGGTAATAACGGACGCCATATTGGAAGCTGAGTCATCATCCCGCGTTGTTTCGCGCAGTTCTGGGTGTGGTCACCGGAGAGTCTGGGAGGCGGGACCCGTCCGTCAAGATCTACGTCTCCAATCACAGGACGCGCTTCGATCACAACGCCATCGGCCTCATCGCACCCTGCAGCTCGGTGAGTGTCCTCGCCCCGTGCTGTTGGGGGCCCCCGTGCTGTGAGTGTCCACATCTTGAGGGGCTCCGTACTGTGGGGGGGGGGCCCTGTACGGTGGGGGGCCCCGTGCTATGAGGGTCTCTATGGTGCTGATATTAATGGGAGTTCCCGTGTTCTCTTTTCTCAGTCCTCTGTCTCGTGTCCCCCTGGTTTCCTGTGCTGGGCCCGCGGGTTCCTGGAGTTAGGGGCCCCTGGGAGCCGGTCTCAGTTGTTGGAGTCTCTGAAGCACTATTTGTCCCAGCCGGCGAGTCCTCCACTCCTGCTCTTCCCTGAAGAGGAGACGACCAATGGGAAGGCTGGATTGCTGCACTTCAGGTAATACTGCCGACTGCCCCCATGTGGTGATGACGCTGTGTGTATATGAGTGGGCGGGGCTGTGCTGTGTGTATATGAGTGGGCGGGGCTGTGCTGTGTGTACATGAGTGGGCTGTGCTGTGTGTATATGAGTGGGCGGGGCTGTGCTGT